TGTCATCTAATCTCAAGCTGCTGATGTCCAACAGCAAGGTATTTATAAATGCTGAGAGTGACCACATGATAGTCCACATTGATTTTGATCTGGATGAATCCTCAAGGAACCAAGAATGGCAGTTGGCACCAGCCATGCTGAGGGATGAGGAATGGCGCCAGATAATTTAAGATGGACTGGATCTACAGGTCATGTATCTAAATCATCACTTGGAGATAGATCCTCTGGAAAGATGGGTCCAGATCAAAAAGAAGATTAGGTATGATAGCTTGAAGTTTGAAAAAGTGACTACTTACAAGTGAACTGCTGCCACAAAGCAGCTTAGAAATGCATTGAAGAGTTCAAAGCTTTCTCAGCAGGACAGCAAAGAATGGTGGAGCAAGTACCAAACAACTTATAAATGATATCAGGCCTTAATGATAAAACAAGACTTAGAGCAATGAATCAATGCCACCTATTGATACCAGAGCTTAGTGGGGACAATGATCAAGGAGGTCCTGGCACACCTCAAGGAAATTCAAACTAAGGCTAGGATACATGAGGTAGAGATGGCAACAGGGGAAGTAACAATGAACCCAGAAACAATCAAGCACAAATTATAATGTTTTTACAGTGAGCTATTCTGCCAACAAGAGATGAGCAAATTGGTGACAGATGCCCTAATCAACCTGGCCAAGCTGGCACTCAGAGCCTGCATGCTGGAAGATGTTGCTAACTTGTCTGCTGACATTTTGGTTGATATAGTCAAGCAAGTACTAAAAGACTTGCTGAAGATGAAGGCACTGGGCCCAGACAACATTTGCGCATAAGTTTACATTGCATTCTGTGACTTCATTGTACCAGAGCTCAAATCCCTCTTTAACCACTGCTTGCAAAATGAGCAACAAATACCAGAAGGCCAAGAGACCTGATTTGTACTTTTGTACAAAAAAGAACTAAAACGCCAACTCTAGAACTGGTACCTGATTGATCTATTCTTGCCAACTATAAGCTGTTCATGCAAATTTAAAGATTTGGCTAATGGCAATGGCACCATGTATGCTGTATTAGGCCCAAAATGGGTTTATCAAGGGCTGAAGCATCTGGGACAGCATTAGTGCAGTTCAAAATGTTCTCATTGACATGCAGGGAACTGAACAGGGATATCTCATGTTCCTCAACATGGAGAAGGCCTACAATCAGGTAGCATAGTACTTCCTACATGTGGTGCTAAAGGTAGTTGTTATCCCCAAATCTTTTAGATCATGGATATCAACACTGTACTTGGGCCTGGTCACCAAAGTAATCATTGCTGATGGCATAACCAACAATATTCCAATTGGGCAGGGTCTCTGACAAAGTGAACCCATGTTACTATTATTTTTTAACTTTGCAGCTAACGTTTATTGGCTTCAGTGGACATAAAACTCCAGTGCCTAGTCCACCCTAACTAAATATCACTGAAAATGCTGGCCTTTACCAATAACATGATAGTAGGTATAGTTTGCCAATTGACCTTCAGAGTGCCAAGGAGCTACTAGACCTATACCAGTTAGCGTCAAATGCAAAGATCAACTTGGCAAAACCTCAGTAATAAGGATTAGTGTCCTAAATTTCAGCCCACCGGCTGACACAACACTGATCATAAAATCTCAGATGATCTAATACCTCAGGTTACTTTTTAATAATAAAGGACTAGCAGTACTGGAAACTGAGAAAGAGATCCCATTGAGTCTGTCAGTCTGAATGGCACGCTGGAAAAATGCAAGACTATGCCTTGAGGAGAAAGTGTTGCTCATCAACATATTCATCTTATCCAAGCTGTGGTATGTCACCCATGTGCTGCCAATGAGCCCAAACCTAGAAAAAAAAGATCAGGACAATGCTTCACACTTTCTTATGGTTCAAAGCAAAAGTGATGCCAATAGCCCTAGTAACCCTGTTCAAACCAAAGAACAAAGGATGCATGGGCCTTCTGTATTTTAAATCCCATGCTCAGTGGATCTGGGCAAAGTTGTTCCTTAGGCTAACACAGATGCACATGCACTTTCTGACCCTAGCTTGTAATATGAGCTGGGCTAGAGTTTAGGGCATTCAGGAGCTGGTCTCCCCACAATCCTTGCACAAATTGTAAGAATCCAGCTCTCTGGTGCTCACTGGTGCTTATGCCACTGAATCCCACAAAAGCTTTGATAAAAATTTATACATTTAATGCTAATAAAAACTTGTTTTTTATAAAGTTTTCATTAGGAGCATGGGATAGAAAAAAGTGATCCCCACTATATATGCCCAATCTGTATTTAAACTAATTTTGAGGGTTGGGGGAATTTTAGGATAGCTTTGGAATAGCAGTGATGTATTCCAAATTAGGAAATATGCTAAACTCTCCTATCAGATCATGGGATAAAATGAGTTAATTTTTGATAAGCTGAAGGTTGGGGTTTTAGGGCAGAATATACCCATGTGGAAATGTTTTGATGTACTGCAACTAATCACTGTGAGATAAATTACTTTTACCTCAGGTGACCTCCACCACATCTATAGAAGGGGGTGGCCCTGCATAGGTGTTGTAAAGTACTTGGTGATGATTGGGGGAGTATCTTACGCTGGTTGCCCCAAAGTCTGTCACATGGTCATAGTAATCTGACCATTTTTTTTGGTTATCGCCCATGTGGGTTTCAAAAATGATGTTACCCCAATTAATGAGGTTCCACTAAGAATCAGTGAGGGTATTTTAGTCAATATACTTGATATTTTTATTTTTATTATTATTAAATAAGCTCTTAACAATATCAGAAAATTGAAAATGGCTGATATTTACCCTTTTTGGCTAAATTTGACCTAAGACATTCTTATTTTTTAGTTGTGAGGGAAAATTTATGATACAAATGTATGGTAAACTACCTGCAAATGCTTTCCTGAAGAGGCACCACACACTACTGGTGAATGTGCAACCAGAAAGTGCACCTGGGTGGATAATCATTCAAACGGTCAGATCAGGATGCCAACAAAATCCACAGGGATGTCAAGACCTATAATCTCACAATGATTTCTGTAATGAACTGGGAAGAGTGCAAATGAATCACCCCATAAATATGCCATCAAGACAATAAAAATTTTCTACAAATTAACCTTGATTGAGTATGGGGACCCACTCCCAAAATCTGGGCACAACCCACTCACTTGACCATAAATTCTGAATGACTGGGAAGCTGAAGGCTACAACACCAACTACCAAACAAAGGAGTTGATATCAGGCCTCAACTCCCAGCTGGTAACAGCAAAGCAACAGTCAGCAACCTGGCAGATCCTACACTGAGCAATTAAAACCAGTAAGCAAAGTGGACCAGACTACCTGAACAAGGAGTGCCTGTATGTGCTGAATTGGAAGCAGATATCATCCATTGATATTATAAATATGCATGTTAAAAAATACTGGTCAATGTGCAATACATCCTATCAGGTGAACAATTGCCAACAGAAATGCATCCATTGCAAGACCTTTTTTGCAAAAACCCTGAGAATAGCCCAATCCAGTTGCAAGCCTTCATCTACCATTAATTTATATGGATAATACACCCACTCTTATTACTAAGAGTTTGGACAGTGAGTGCCCCCATCACAAAGGTTTGGTACTAAAGACAATTCTTATTATTTATAATTTCTCTGACTGATCTCAAAATTCTTGTGCTCAATCCCCAGATGCTATAAAGCCATGCATTTGGCTTTTTCTGTCAGATTGCTCATCATACATGACAAAGCAACAAATTTATTAAAGATCATTTGGCCTGTAAGATCATTGATGCTAGAACTGTGGCTAGCAATGCCAATTGCCAACAGCAATGATCAGAGGTGCTAGTACTCTAGCGGCCTAAACTCCAAGTCCCTTATTCTCAGCCAAATCACTTGTATTCCGCCCTCCCCTCTTACTTTTACTTTTAATATAATTTTTAGATAAGGAGTAAAAAACATGTCTTTGTGGTGTAGTTGGTTATCACATCTGTCTAACACAAAGAAGTCTCCAGTTCAAAATTGGACAAAAACATTCTTCAGTCTTTCTTTTTACAACACAAATAGTTTATAGAATAAATAACACGGCTTTATTTTTCCCTAATTAGTTAACTTTAGGATAGTAGTGATCCTTATAGGATCATAAGTAATACTTTTGTTTAACTGAGGTATGGATCATGGTTAATTTTTCAAGATTACCTATTAATTGTTCACTTCAAACTTCACAAATTAGGTTTTCTATATGTAATTGGCTACAAATTATTAGAGAAAGTTGAGGGCTTACATCCACCTAGTTTTATGGCCTAGATATAAGCGCTAGTTAAACGTATAGATGATTAGATATATCTTAACATGTTGAGTCATCTGGGATCCCAATTTTAATTTGGGTTAGGTGCATAGTTTTGAGGGTCCAAGTTAGTTAATCATTTCCTGAAACAAGAGGGTAATTGTAATATTAGCCAAACATTCAACATGGATTTAACTTCTTAAATAGAACTGGCCAACTATACCTTTTAGTGGGGATTGACCAAACCATCCAAAAGAACTGTGAACTTGAGGTCAGAGGAGTCTTGATGGAAGGTTAAAATTTTAATTCAAAGATGGTGTTAAAACGGTTCAAACTATAAATATATAAAGTTAGCTAACGTTTAAGCTTACCGATGCTTTTGAAATTTTGGCTAATAAAAAAGCCAACTTGAGGTTACTAAGTTTAAACCAAGTTGATAGAATTAGAATCAATGATATTTACTTCAGAATTTAACCCTTGCGATTGGTGCCCATCATAAGGGTTAAAGTTTGGTGGTGTAGTTGATCTTGTTTTTTAGCACTAGTGAATATAGTAGTTGACCTTGTTAGATCAACGTTTTCCTTATTATAATTTAAGTGAAAAGTGGTGGACAGAATCAGATATCAGATTGATTAGTAGATACTAGATTGGTGGGACCGTCTAGTACTAAAAAAAGTAAATACTAGATTGGGGTTTAGGTTGCCAGTTTTAAAATAGAGTTTA